ACAAAATTAGTTTTAACTACACGTCCTAATTTGCTTGATTTGGTTATGAGATTTTCTTAAGAGGGCGAAGGGAGTATGTTATGAAATGTTTTGAATTTCTGATCTTCCCCACAGATAGTTGGTGCTTGAATCTTTAGTGATTGGAGCATTGGGCAAGATGATTGTTTCTTCTTTACTGGCTGTTTCCCTCCCTCTCTAGTCTCTAGCTATAGTCTGTGAGGAGTGGGGTGGACTTTCCTTGTAAACAACCAGTTAATTTAGCGTAGATGGTATAGGTTCGGCTCTTTAAAAATTATCTCAATCCTTCTGTACAAGTCATAAAACAAATCCTGTTAATATAGAGATATTCTTCTGGTTCTAAATATAAGACTTATTTTATAATATAAATTAAATGGGTCTTATATTTAGCATCAGAAAAGTTATTTTCTATCCTCGTACTTTAAGCGAGATTAATTTATTTTTCCCCCCAGTAAATAACACTCTTAGAACCTTGTCCGGAGAAATTGCCCAAGAAAATGTTATGCCTTTAACATTAGCAAAGCTTTTCGTTTTTCTTTGCAGCATTTAGATGGCATTAGTAATTACCTTCAAACGCAAGAAGATGAACTTCAACCATAACTTCTTTAGCCAAAAACTTATAATTTAAAGGGATGAAAGTTAGAGTTGGTAATGCGGGCTGGCGGTGCGGATACGGGGCCAGCCCGCAGCAGAGCGAGCAAAGCGGTGCGGGTTGAAGTAGCCCGCACCTTGGCGGGCCAGCATAATGCAGGCCGCGCCCGCCTATTATTTTTATAAAAAAAAAGAAAATCCATAAAAAAATCCATTCCACACCCCAAGCTTGCATCCATGACAAGTTCAACTTGTACATTCAAAATCCATAGTTCCATACAACCAAATTTGCATATTTTGGTCTGAAAAATCTAGAAATATACACTCTTTATTAAAATTACAACATTAAAAACAAATAAACATTCAAAACAATTAAAAAACACCAACCAGCAACAATTCAACATCAACCAAGTGTCCAAAAATTAAATATTACAAACAAAACACATCTAAATATAATCTAATCAGGTGGACACTCGAAGCATTAAATGAAGCTTCTTCAGGATTGATAGAAACTATTTCTTCTTCAGGATCATCTTCTACCACACATAATAAAAGAATAGTATTAGATTTGCATTGCTCAATTTCACTTAATTGAAATGTTAATATATATATATAAAACAAATAAGCAGATATGATTATATTACCACTAAATGGAAAACCAAGAAGCCAATTACGAGTACAAATGAGGGCTTGCACATTATCCAAAAGAAGGCTACTTTGATACTTTGTGAGAACTCGTGAACCAATACTAAAAGCTGATTCACTGGCAACTGTAGTTATGGGAATGCTTAGAATATCACATGCCATTCTTGCAAGACAAGGAAATTGATGTGAGTTACTCTTCCAATAATCCAAAACCTGTAGGTTTACAAATAAGGTAGGATCAAGTGTTGCCTCTTCCAAATAATAGTCTAGTTTAGACTTTTCTATTGTCGTACTATCTTTGCTCTTGCATTCAAGATAATCCTACATCATAAGAATAAAATATTAGCAAAGTTTCAATCAAAATTAGTAACATCAAAGGAAAACATTTTACTATTAAGCAAATTCAAACTTATGTCAAAAGCATCCAAGTAGTTAGATTGATCCCTCACAGAGAAATTAGGCGGCACTATGTTTGCAGGATGAATGGACCTCACATTCACACTGCAACTTGATTCAGCTTGAACAATCTGGGATGTGGATGAAGATGATACCAGATTTTTGTACTCATTGAAAACACTGTACAACTTGCTCCTAACATATTCAATCTTCTCATGACAATTTATAGGATCAAGTCTTGAGTAAGAAAATTTTACAATATCAAATTTCATCCATGGATCAAGGATAATTGCAACTGAAAGAATGATAGAGTATGAATCCCAATATTTTTCAAACTTGTCAAGCATTCTAACAGCCATGTCTCGAATCACAGAATCATCATTATGCATATGACGCTTTAACATTGACTCAATTTTTGATATTTGCATGAAGTACATGTTAGAAGTGGGATATGTTGAACCAGACATCAAATTTGTAATCACTGCAAATGGCTTCAAGAATGTACACATTGCTTCTGCTCTAGCCCACTCTTCAATTGTTGGACAATGATGATAATTGGTGTCATTGAAAGCCAAATTAGCAAAGGCACGTTGATATTTAAGTGCACTTTCAACTCACTATTTTAGGAACTTCAACTTGTTCAATACATCTCTTGAAAACAATTTTCCTCGCCTCTGATTGCCTTACATATCTAATACTCTCCCTAATCTTATGCATAGCATCACTTGTTACTTTCATGCCCTCCTGAACTATGAGATTCAAGATGTGGGCACAACATCTCACATGAAAAAACTCCCCATTGCATAGCAAGTCATTACTCAAATTCAACCTCTCCTTCAATACATTTTGCATGACATCATTTGCTGAAGCATTATCCAAGGTAATTGAAAATACTTTCTTTTCAATCCCCCAATCAATCAATAAATCATGCACTCTTTTAGCTAATTCAATCGCAGAATGAGGCGGCTCCATTTTAGAGAATGCAAGTATCTTGTTATTAAGTCGCCACTTCTCATCAACAAAATGAACAGTTAAGCAAAGATAACCCTCACCGGTTATTGATGTCCAACAATCACTAGTTAAACATATTCTACTAGGACAATCTATCATCACTTTTTTTAGTTTTTCTTTTTGACTAATATAAAAATTCCAAACATCCAGCACTGCAGTTTTTCTAGTAATGTTCTTATAATCAGCATTCAAATATTTGTGCAACTCCCTAACTGCTTCATACTCAACAAATGAATATGGGAAATCATGTCTAATGATACAAGCAGAAATCAGTTCTCGAACTTTGTTATGATCAAGTTGCCTAGATCTTACATTCCCTGCATGGTCTATCATCATCTCACCAATGTCTTTATATTTTGGGAGTGATACACACAATTCCATATGACGCCTAAGGGTTGAAGTCCCATACTCCTTTCCACCACAAACATATTGTTTTCCACATCCATTACATGATGCTTTCTGTTTGCCATTTACCACGCCAATTTTAGTGTAAAACTTCCAAACATCAGACGTATTTTTCTTTGCCCTCTTATTTGGATTATCTTGCACAGAAGATTCAGGTGTTATTCCTTGTCAAGATTGGTTTGGTATATTTGTTTCATCAGTAGTAGCAGTAATCTCAACTTGCTTTCTTCCAGTTCCACTACCATCGGTAGCCATTTTTCTTTAAAATTAACTGCAAATATCAACACTAATCGGCTAATCCCAATAAGCCAGCAAAATCAACCAAAATGGGCAGAACAAATCAAAGACGAGCACAAATTGAAGAACAAATCCAGCAACCACACAACAATCAAAGAAGAAGAGAGCAAAAATCGAAGGTAAGGAAGATTTGCCTGTGAGGACGAGTTGAGCTCCAGTGACTCAAGACAGCTTGAGAGGCAGAGAGTTGCTGCGGCCTGTGTGTTACGGCTTGCGAAGATGAAGAGTGCTGACTTGCTGCGTGCTGCGGCTTGCGAAGACAAGTGAAGAGTGAAGACGGAAGCTGCGTGGTTGCGAGGTCTGGAGGTATCTTTACAAGCCGAGAGGCGGAGAGTTGTTGTGGCCTGTGTGTGTTGGATTTACTGATTCGGTGATTTGTGAATCCAAGGAGGCAAGGCCGCACGGGAGATCCGGAGATTCGCAGGGGTCCAGGGGAGAGCCGAGAGCAGTCAGCGCCCACGGAGAGCCAAGCAGACCAGGGAGGCAAGGCCGCAGGGGAGAGCCGGAGATTCGCAGGGGTCCAAGGGAGAGCCGAGAGCGGTCAGCGCTAGCGGAGAGCCAAGCGAACCAGGGAGGCAAGGCCGCAGGGGAGAGCCGGAGATTCGCAGGGGTCCAGGGGAGAGCCAAGAGCGGTCAGCGACTCAGCGCCAGCGGAGAGAGAGCCAAGCGGACTAGGGCACGAGCACGAGCACGATTTAGTTTCAAGAGTCAAGACACTGAAGTCTGAAGACAGGGGAGAGCCGGCGAGTGAAGTTGGGTTGGTAACTTGGTATGGACTAATACTATGGACCATGGGTGATGAGTCCATGAAGGGAAGTGGGAACTAGTCTAAGGGAGCTGGCAGGCTGAAGACAAAATGTAAATAAAAAAAAGCGGGCTAGCCCGCCGTGAATCAGGCTGAAAACGGTGCGGGCTACATAAGTTTAGATTTTGGCGGGCTGGCATTTCCCCAACCCAAACCCGCTCTTTTAGGCGGGCTCAGCCGTTTTACCACTCTAATTGAAAGTTTCCCTGTAAATAAAAAGTTATAGATTCAGTTTTACCCATAAGCCAATTACAAGTAGTTAATATTGATCTTTTGAAGGCATTATACAGCCTAATGGAAAGTCAAATCCACATGAGTACTGTGAAAGCCTAAAGACTCGGAAACGTGGAACCTTAAAACCAAAATTTTTGGGTGTTTGTAATGTCTTGCCTTTGAAGAAATTCTTCGCTTCTTCACGACAGCAACAACAACACTTTATCCCCCACCCTCCTTCCATGAGCCCTAGACTTACTTTGAGGGAACTTTTCTTGTTTTTTCAGAATAAGAGCAGCGTGGTGAATGGAATAGGGGGCCCTACTTATGGATAATGCTGAGTAGATAGATAATTTTGTGAGGACATGAAGCAAGAATCAAAGACAAGAAGGGAGGGAACAAGAGGAAAGATCACATAAGGAGCACAGCTAATCACTGTTATGAGTAAATAATCACAAAGTTTTAACAACCCGCGTCGTTCATCCAATGATTCGGAGGCCTAAATTATGAATAGCGATTGAAAAGGCTTTGGATAATCCGAATTATAAGAACAGGTTGGACGTAGATGGTTTGACGCGTGAGGTCAATAAATTTGGGAGCACCAGAATTTTGACAAACACTGTTATTTCTCTCACAAGTCTCAACTACTTACTTTGCTATGAATTGATTACTGTTATATTTTTTTCCCTCTCTTTTTCTTCCTTTCCCACCACTTTCTATTTCCCCCCTCTCTCTCTGCGCGTCTGTTTCTGAGTTTGTCTTTCTCACGCACGCATTCAACCGTCGTCGTTGCTTCTTCTCCGGGTATAATCAAGAAACAAACTTTAGTTAATCATTCTCACCTCCCACTTTCTTCTAACCCTTTTCTTCAATCTAACTCCACCATCAATCTTTCTTCTTTTTCATCACTGTAAATTCCAATGTTGAGCCAGTCTTCCGCTTTATTGATTTCTTAAGTCACCGAATCTCAATCTACATTTTTAGATTTCTTTTAGTTTATTTCAAGGAAAGGCTCTTTTTATTGCCAGCCATGACCGAGGTCCTCCATTCCTCATCCCATTTCTCTTCCTCGTCAACGAGAACCTCCTCCTCTTCGTCTTCCCTGCCTCGTGCGCCCCTATCTTCATCGTCTCGCGCAACCACTCCCGGCGATGGCATTTTCATTATTGTTCACCAAGAACCTCCATCGCCGTCTTCGCTAGCCGTAGAGGGTTGTTCGGCGGCGACGGACTGTGACACCGACCAGGAGTTGGAGGAGAGGGATAAGCACCCCACGGAAGAGCTTTCTGTCTTGGAGCTTGTCGTGGCCCTTTTCAGGAAATCCTTCCCTGCTTGTAAGAGTGGGAGGAGGGAGCTTTGTGCAATGGAGATCGGACCGCCTTCCAATGTGCGGCATGTTGCACATGTCACGTTTGATAGGTTCAATGGTTTCTTGGGTTTGCCTGTCGAGTTCGAACCTGAAGTGCCCAGAAGGCCCCCGAGTGCTAGGTACCTTGTTTCTTTATTATTGCATGCTGATTTAATTCCTTCTCTTTACTATACGATGGAGATCTTCAGACTGCGTTATTGGTTTTAGTGGACGGAACTGTGGAAAAGTTTTTTGTTTTTTTTTCGGTCAACATGGATGCCATCCCAGCTCTATCATAAAACATGTCGATATTGCATAGTATCAACGATTTTGGTATCATAATAAAACATGTATCCTTCATAATAATATCCATTTCCTGTTTAAATGACTTGTAACATTTTCAATTAGTTTGATGTAATCCTTTCCCCGCTGAATTTTCACTTGTAGTACGACTGTTTTTGGAGTTTCAACGGAATCCATGCAGTTATCGTATGACTCAAGAGGGAACATTGTGCCCACAATTCTGTTACGAATGCAGAAGCGCTTATATGCTCAAGGAGGATTGCAGGTTGTTCATCTCTCTCTCTCTCTCTCTCTCTCTCTCTCTCTCAGCTTCTCTTTCTCATATGTTTCTCTTGAATTAGTGGACACACAAGTCAAAGAAGTTTCTCCTGTTTTTAAGTTCACAATTCTTTACGAACTTGCTCGCTTGTAGAATGCTACTTATATACTCTTGCTTGGTTTAACCGTTGAATTTACACATGCAGGCAGAAGGGATTTTCAGAATCAATGCAGAGAACAGTCAAGAGGAATATGTTAGGGAGCAATTAAATAGTGGAGTGGTCCCACAGGGCATTGATGTACATTGTTTGGCAGGGCTTATCAAGGTATACCATCGCAAGATGACTGTGTATTGTGTTGATCTATAGACAGCATTCTCATTTTGCATAATTAAGAAATGATTTGGTCTTATATTCTTTTGTGTTTGAAGGCTTGGTTTCGAGAGCTGCCCAGGGGTGTTCTGGATTCTTTATACCCCGAGCAGGTAATGCAATGCCAGACGGAGGAGGAATGTGCTGAACTAGTGAGGCATCTACCTCCTACTGAAGCTGCCCTCTTGGACTGGGCCGTCAATCTGATGGCTGATGTTGTACTACAGGAACATCTGAACAAGATGAACGCGCGCAACATTGCCATGGTTTTTGCGCCAAATATGACTCAGGTGAGTTCCAATCAATATTTTAATTCTTCAGGGAAGAAAAGGGATGCCTTTTTAATTGCACTATGATATTTTCTGGGGGGCGTTTTCCGCAGTATTTTCTTTCAAACACGGTTCGGTAAAAGGCCAAGTGTTTGACAACTTACAAGCTCATAAAATTCTGTGTCAAAAGTCCTTGCCAAGTTGCCAGTGTCATTTTATTTATTCCCTTAAGACCGAAAGTGCCAATGTGATGGTTGGTCTATCTGATGGTAGGTTTAACTTCTAGATTTTTACAGCACTCTGACTTTGTGGTTGCAGATGGCAGATCCTTTAACTGCATTAATGTACGCAGTCCAAGTGATGAATTTCTTAAAGACACTTGTACTAAAGACCCTCCGGGAAAGAAAGGATTTGTTGGTAGACTCTTCTCCTCAATTTCATTTCGAGCCGTCAGATGAGAATGGACACCATAGCCCTATGCAATCCTTCCAGCGAGATCCTAATGAAGAAAGGGAAGATGCACAGGAAAACTTCATTTCCGAGAGAACTATCCAAGAATGTTCCCCTAACTCTACTCACCAAAGCATTAACCTGGCTGGAGAAGAATCTGGCAGTGTGTTAACCTCTTCTGAGCATCTAGTTTGTGATGGAGGTTTATGTTGCAAGTTTTCGCCCAAAGGAAATGCTGGGAAGAGTAAGACTGGCGGGCCAAGTAATCCCAATACTAGAAGGAAGACCAAAAAAGCCAGGGTACAACAACCTGCAATACATCGAAAAGTGCCTGTGGAGAAGAGGGGGATTAGCAATCTGAGTCGGTTGGATTCAAGATCAGAGAGGATAGAAGCCTGGAGGTGAAAGAAGCACAACTGTGACGTGTGGCTCTGTAATTTGTAAGTTGGATTGGGTTGGAACTTGCAAAAGTAAATTGTTTACTGGTTCACTCATGTTTTTCTTTGTATTCTTGGGTTTGCTTAACTTGTCCGATTTTAGGAACAGTGTTCTATGATCACTCTAACCATATAATGAAGTCGCATCAGTTGTGTGTTTACTCTTGCTCAAATTTTTTCCCAAATGATCTTCCTTCATTTGTGTTCAGGGCATCCTAAGGTCTCCTATGACTATTTTAGTGCTTGGGATCCTACGCTAGATTGCCATATTCTTCAATTGATAACAAGATGATTAACGACTTCTTATTGAGATTAGTAGAACTGTATGAAATGTCATAGCTTAAAAGACATTCCCATCTGAAAGTAGCAGAACTGTATGAAATCTCATAGCAGAATTGGTGATTGAGATACAGCGCGTAATATCACAGAAGAGTGGACAGGCATGCCACCTGGCGTGCCATATTGAGAGTGGGTGGAAATGTGCCGCGGAGAGCACCTTCACACACGATCCAAAAAAACAGATCACAATTCGGCCTTAACAGTTCACATCACTCTCGTACTAAGAAAGCTGTGGTCCGTCCTCGGTCCTCCTTCCCCAAAGAAACAGTGAATAACATCCTCATCTTGCTCTCTGCCTTTCATCCATTTAGATACATGCAAGTTAAAAACTTTATCTTGATTCAATTTGTGTGTCACACCCAAAATTGGCTATTTGGTACCCAGTATCACGCCATAAGTCATAATGTCACAGAAAAATCATTACTTTAGTTGATAATTAAAGGGATAATTATATATAAACAACTGAATTTATAAACCAGATATTAAGAATAATCCCCATCAATACTGACAAGACAAGATATTTAGTTCCTGTCTTTGAACATTTTTATTGACAAATATTAAGAATTAACTAATGTTTCAATAATTTTTGAATAACAACTTATAAAATAATACATTGTTAAAAAAACATACAACGAAATAAGAAGATAAACTTTCAATATTTTCTCCCTTCAAGATTAGATGCTTTTCCGAAAGAGAGAGGGGCGAGGGGACCTCGAATTTGAAAGAGAGAATCTATCTATCTCTTACGCGTAGTGGTAAATGAATATGGAAACTTTTCCATGCTGCTTACTGAAATTTATAGGCATTTGTGGTCGCCAAATTTACACCAATCTCTGTAGCCACCCATTGATTCTTCAAAACTATCACACACAAAAAAAAATTCAAAGAGAAAAAAAATAGAACCTCCTACTTAATAGCATCTTGCTCTCGACTTTTTTAGATCAAGCTATTCTCGTGACCCTTTTATTTTTTTCGCCCCTTTTGTCTCCTCCTCTCAACAATCTTTGCTGTCTTTGCTCTCGTCTCTTAGAAAAGTAAAAACAGAGCAAAGGCCATGGCTTCCGGCACGAGCCTGCATCGCATATTTGAAAACCCGTTGCCTGAAAACCCAACGCTTATGCAATCCCTTTCGTTGAACCAAATTAGAACCATCAGACCCACTGACGATTCCTCCTTTACGGAGTTATTTGGTGAACTCCATTTCAAGGAGAGTCCTCAACCCTCCTCTTCATCTCCCTTTCTTCCAACTTCACCATCATTAGACCTTGGCTCTGACATAAACCAAACCTCTGTTGCAAGCACCCCAGAGGATCTTGATTTCGAGAATCCATTGCCACAAAGCCCAACTCTGCTTGAATCCCTCTCGTTCAATAAAATTAGATCCGCCAGACCCGTTGACGGATCTTCGATTACTGAATTATTTGGTGAACTCCATTTCAATGAAAGTCCTACACAATCCCCTTCTTCATCTGACCCTGTTTCTACTTCACCATCAACAGGCCTTCAAAAGCCTGATCATAAAGATGTTCTCGACTCAAAACAGAGCACACCGGAATCAAAACATATCATACGTCACAAGAGTAGCGATAGTTTTTCATCTTTTAATTCTGATAGTCTGCATTTTTGCACAGAGGGCCTCGGTTTTGAGAGCTCAGACGATACGGAAGAGTTGAAAGCAGGAATGGATGAGTGTTGTTGGGAAACTCAAAGCGAGAAAGTGGGTATCAAGAAGAATAATTTCGCTCCAGAAGATTCATATGGAGAGTGCAGAAAGTCAAGGATCAGGGGGCTAGAGTTCCCTCCTCCTATTTCATGCATAGGGAGCACTGGGAAGCCTTGGGTTTGGTTCAAGTCTTACAGGGACAAAGGTAGATTTGTTTTGAAAGAAATAAGAATACCCACACGGGAGTTTCTTTACGCTAATAGAGAAGATGGAAGGCTGAAGCTGCGCTTTGTGCTGCCGGATGATGAATTTCTGGAAGAACAGAATGAGGAACAAGAGGATGATGATGATGCAGAAAGTAGAGACGAGGAAGAAAAAGATGATGATATAGCAAGTATAGATGAGGATGAAGAGAACACGGAAAAAGAAAACTTTGATTGTGTAGGAGATCAGGGTAACGAAGTATGAGGGATTGATGCGGGAGCCAATTCATGAAACGCAGGAAGGCTAAAATAAAATAGATTGTACTATGCTTTTTTACTCTAATCTACGTGCTACGGTTCTACGTTTTCTCAGTTTTGAATCCCATGATTACGAGGCTTTATTTTTGGCTCAACTTTGAATTTAAGAGTGCGTAATTAACAACGTGAAACTAACAAGTACTAAATTCTGTTGGATCAATTGCCTTCGGAGCTACTCCCTCAATGGTTTACACATACTAAGAACATAGCCATTTCAAAAATGTAGGAAATAATCATAACGCTTGACCAAGTTTTCTTGCTTTTCCTTCTGCTTTGGGGGAAAAACGAGAAGAAGAGAAAATAAAGGCAGCGCGCGCGCACAGCCCCCAAGATTCTCCACCGCCAAAGCATGATTGACAACTTCACATTGGTTCTAAACTCTAAACTGGAGTCTTTAATAATTTGATGACTCAAGTCGCAATTTTTTTAATCAAATGATTAGAGAGAATATGACATTAGCTGAAATTCGAAGGGTTAAACTGTTCGGGGAACAAGGTAAAAGAACAGAATTTCTTTTATGACAGAGCAGAATTAAAACAAAAGATGGGGGCATTCCGAGAATTGAACTCGGGACCTCTCGCACCCTAAGCGAGAATCATACCACTAGACCAAATGCCCTCGTTGTGAGCCCGCTACTGTTAAGTAGAGTAAGTTAAAGATTCAGGTAACCCTGCAAACTTTATTGCACAAGAACTAGAAGGATGAAGCGCGGAAAAGAAGCGGCGTGGTCGAGAAATAAAATCTTAAGCCAGAATCATAGTGATGACGATAAGATTGTGAAAGAGACGCCAACTCATGGAGATAAGAGCATTTAATACAGGATCTGACCTGGGACCATAAATGCCGCGTTAACATATGGACATCGTGATGTGAATCCAGCACCGACTGTGATTTTGAATGGAGCATCCGATTTTCTTCTGATCCCCAATCCATGGATTGTTATTTCACCTACATGATCTGCCTCCCGAGAATTCGGAGACCACAGAAAAGGGGTTCTTTTTTTCTTTTCCCTCCTAAATTAACCGAATCAAATCAATTTATAATTTTTTTCTGAGCAAAAGAGGACGCTATAATTAGGAGGAACAAGAATAATAGCCTTTCAAAAAAGAAAAGAAAAGAAGCACCGTCTTTGCGCGCAGGAATGTCTCGCTTCGCGTGTTTCTTCGGATCAAATACCAACGGTGCAAGTGGAAGGCGGATTAATTTGCGCGAGCCACGTAGCAAAACATAAGTCCCCGATATTTTGGATTGGAGGACTACAAAGAGTGTTTATCTTCTTCAGCCGGCAGATGTATTGACGCCAACAAATCGTTCGAATATAGCCTTCCCATTTTTAATACAAAACTTATTTTTGTAGTATAATTCATATTATTATAAAAAAAAAACAGCACTATAAAATGGGGAGAATAAAAATATCCTTCTCAATAGCTAAGCCCGATGGTCAGAACAAATTGCATTAGTAGTGATCACTGATCAATGTCAGAAGTCTAGGAAGTAAGAACAAGTTGTGGACACGGGGTTTCAATATCTAGGATGCCAACGAAGCCCACAAATGCCCAGATGTTTAATTTCAAACTTCAGGTCCAATAAAAACAAAAAGTGGAATTAAATATTGAGCATCCACATCAATATAGATTCAAAATGTTCAATTTTTACCATTTAAATAATTTTTTTTTTAAGCAAATAAAAATTGAAAATCATTATTTTAAATTTTGCATGTCCCAAAGTAAAAATATTATAACAATGAAATCTGAACTCTCTAAATTCATGACGAGAAACATATGCAGCATTTAAAAAATAAATTGTACTCATTTACATTATAAGTTATAATTGCTATTTCCATAAATTTGCATTAATATATTGATTCCAGATGTTTTATACATGATTTGTAAACACTGTTTCCCCTTCGCGAGTAAAAATTTAAAATACTTTCTGAACTGTTTCTTTAGGTATCCTACGCACAACTTCTATCATTATGACCAAAAAGAGCAACAAAATGAATAATCTCACGCCATTAGAACAATTTCAATCAAAACAAATTCGATGTGACTCAGTCCTCACGCAAAGTGCGTAGAATCCAGAGAATATAGATCATCTGCAAACTGCAAATTATTGAGAAACATAAAAGAAGCCAATCATATTGATAGTATGTTGGAACGTAGAACACAGGTATTGTGTGGTCATTTATTTGTCTAGCTGCTACAACCATTACCAAACTATGGCAACATGCATCAAGGCAGTGCAACTATCGAAGCAAGCCTCAATCCTGCGCTTCTGGCTTCTTCGCAGTGCCTTTAAGGTACCATCCCAAAGCACCAAGAATTGTAATGGTCCCAGCAACAACTGCATAGTTCCGGTACTGGTCAGTAGAAACTTTCTCGGCAGATGATGTTCCTGTAGAATCCAAGCTGGGTTTGGCGTCAGTTACTGAACCCCCCGAGCCTGCCGCTGCCTTACTGTCTGGTTGAGGACCCTGATTTAGAATAAATGTTGACTGATAAGTTTAAAGCATAATATTATGCATGCGCACAATAAAAACTACTAATCCAAAGGTGACTCGCTGATATAAATCATTTTAACCTGTTAGTAGAGTGACTCCATGGGAATAAATCAGGAAAATGTCACGAAAAATCAACACCATAGAAATAATTTACCCTCTAGTTAAAATGTTGTACATGGGGTCATGATCAAGAATCTGTAATGTTTAAAAAGCATAATTACACTACCAAAAGAAATAAAAACAAGTTTCCAGCCTCATGTTTACAGTTAATTTCAGCCAAAAGTTATCTGACGATAAGTCCATTCCCTTGTGTACCCTTGACTTACCACGCATCCACCACTCTTTTCATCTTGCCTAACTCACTCGTCATTTTTCTCATTTATCACCCCATGCCAGCAGGTATTAACAAGAAATATTTCTGAACCAAGCACCAAAAGAAATAAAAACCAGTTCCCAGCCTCATGTTTACAGTTAATTTCAGCAAAGTTATTTGACAATAGGTCTGTTCCCTTGTGTTCCCTTGGCTTACCACGCATGCTCCACCCTTCTTATCTTACCTAACTCACTGATCATTTTTCTCATTTACCACTCCAGTCACCAAGCATTAGCAAGAAATATTTAATTATCACATCAATTGAAGCAATGAAATCAACAAGTAAAAATCAATAATATCTCAAGTCAGACAATACCTTGCGAGCAAGCTTCTCTAATTTCTCTTGCTCAGTTTTCTGCACTATCCAAAAACAATAAACACATAAGGCAGGAGGAATTGAGAAAGCAAAATCCTCTGGTGATGTTCATAATAGACAAATAAAGTCAACTGGCAAAGAACAGTATCTTCATTTCAATACACCTAAAATTCAAATTCAGACATTGCTATGTTGCCAGTACGAACCACTAAGGCGATTTTTCGTTACCAATGCATGTTAATAATTTTTCACAAGCATTGGTGTTATACGCACGCCAAGCAGTTTTGCTCAGCTCGTTGGAAACCTCCCAACCTTTGGAACACCATGTCAAATCCTAACCATACAAAGATACTTGTGAATCTACAAACAAAATGAATGCTAAAATGCGGGGAAAAAGAAACACGGCTATACTGCACCATATGCCAGAGAAAAGCGCCAAGGATAGAATCAATAAAAATAACTTCTGGATGCCCTATTATCTGTTAAAATTTGTTCGATAACCGATCGAAAGCTTGCAATGAAGACACTACACTAACACTCCGAAGTTCCTGGCAATGTCATCAACTTACAAAAGTTCATATCAGGATAAAAAGAACATATAGAACCAAGATTACGCTAGGAGATTTCAAGATTACCTTAATGTAAACATTTTCTGCAGCTTTTTCCTCCTCACTAAGTACTCTGCCATTGCCACTGCTATACAGTCTTCTGGACACAAATCTCGCAGCCATCCGCGTCGCCATCACACTCAAATTTGTTCTGTGTAAATGAGACGATGAATGCTAAATCTACTCGTCATGTCAAAATTTAAGATGATTGGAGGAACAAACATAAGAAAGGCGAAATCCCCTATCTATTGCCATTTGAAATAAAATGAAAACTAAGTAAACTCTCAGAAGAAAATCGATTCAATAATGAAATCAGAAAGTTGATGTAGAGAAAGCATAGCAAATTCAAGGTGGTCCTTAAACAAAATGACAAGATTTTTCGGAATAGAAGAAATAGATACCAGAATCAGTGCACAGGGCGAGAGGCTCAGAGAAAGAAATGCGAGAGTTCTTGTTGCGTAGGGGAAGAGGCGCACAAGGGTTTAAGGACAACCCCTTTAGATGCGGGCGAAGGGGCAGGTTCAAGCAACGAATGGCTTCGGCGCGAAGAGCCGGTTTCGTTTGTTCTATTTCAGGCCTTTTCTAGGACCAAAAGCCTAATGGCATCAGATTCAGAAGGTTGCAGATTTTTTTTGAAGAGGGGAAAAAAAAAAAAAGAATAGGCGGTTGTAGAATTTTCTTGCTATTTCTCCGAAGCCTTACGAAATTAAGCAAGCAAAATAACCACAATAAAAAGATCACTGATTTCAATTTTTGATAATGATATTTTTCTTTAAATTTGAGTGATAAATATTTACATCCATATGTCTTCACTTGTATCTTGTTTGGCGGAAAATATATTTGCTGTTCTTATTGCAAGTGTCCTAACTGGACAATGATTTGAAAGAGTTGAAATTAAAATTTACAAATAAAAGCTGGTCTAAATTTGTGTAAATATAGTAACATTTAATTTATTAACTAAATTTTGACATAGCATCCATTACAAAATTTGTGTTATTTGCACAGTATCGCGATTAATAATTGATGGTCAGTAAGAGAATATTTTAAGCACATTTTTAATTGTGTCTTCACTTATCTTCGTGTATTCATTTTTAGTTTATTTACAAAACTTATCATCCACAGCTTATTTTAACTTTTAAAAAATTGTTTTAAAATAATGTGGTTGGTCATTCACGAAGTTTTGGCATTACTATGGCTAGGTAGGCTAGACCCAAATTGCCCCCTTCTCCCGAACTAGCTACTCACAATCACAAAATTTTGTTTTGGGGAAGAAAACAAAGGAAAAAACTCAGAAATCAAACCCTGTTGGCAGTTAAAAGACGGCAGAACTCATGCTTCTGGTCAACTCCCACGGTTTCCCCTGCTTTATCTGCATTCTTTTGAACCGAATGGTGAGGCCAAACCTCTGTGCTTACGTAATTCTCTCGAGATTTTTGCTCATATTTTTGTGTTCTTTAGGCATCCAAGAAAGATAGTAAAGCTCCTCCTCCATCCTCGAAGCCCGCCAAGTTTGGAGGAGGGAAGCAAAAGAACAAGGTAAGGGTCTTCAAATCTCTTAATTGAGAAGTCGCTCAGAAGTCAGAATGTAATCCTTTTGAAGAATCAGACCATTGTTTTCCCCAATGGCCTTTTGTAGTTTGCCTTGAACTTGACGAAGCTAATTGAATGTGCATCTGACTGCCGTCACTCTTCAGAAGTGGAGCAAGGGAAAGCAAAAGGAGAAGGTGAACACCATGGTATTGTTTGATCAAGCAACCTATGGTAAGCTCCTTTCGGAAGTTCCAAAGTACAACTTAATTACGCCATCCATCATGTTTGACAGATTGAGGGTACGTTCTTAGCTTCTCTGCACGCTCCGTACTTTTTTATGCAATGAGATTGACAAAGGAATGTTACTGAGTGGTATTCCCTGATTTGAAAACCGCTAGCTATTTGAAGAAGCATAGTTTCTCCATGGACAACAATGTTTTGATCTGTACGTGGCGGAATAACAAGTATCTAGTGGAATCCTATGATTTGTATGCAAAGGCATCCTTGTTTCTTGGTCATTTGTAAAGTAGGGGTTCTTTGTGTGTCCTTTCCAAGAATATGACATTGGAAAGTATTATTGTTGGTGTGCGCAACAACACGCATATTTTAGACTTGAGAAAAGATCTTAGTTTGCTTTCCTCATGTAGAAGGAAAGTTGATTGGCTGATTGCTTGCACGTAATTTTTACTATAACTTTGTTCTTCTCTTCATCATTTACAGATCAACGGATCCTTGGCTCGTCGGGCGATTAAGGACTTGATGGCAAGAGGATCAGTTACGCTAATAGCTGCTCATGCCAGCCAGCAAATCTACACTAGATCCAGCAGCACTAAGCTTAAAGATATTTCTTTCTCCGTCAGTGCCAAAGTAGCCTGCATACATTTGTTAGATAACTAATACTCCTACCATCCCCATGAGGACGGCATTTTGTTAGACCCTCACTTCTTCACTCTGATCATGGCTTGCACTCTTACTTCTGATTTGGTCCTGGACAATGGTTAGTTTTTCTCCCTCAAGTCGGTGACAATTTGTTTCGTTGCAACTTTTTTCACTGCCATATGATTGAGAAACGGGAATATCTACAATGCGTTACGCTGAACTTGGTAATCTTTGTTCTTGTGCTTTGAAACGAAAAGCGTTTGGGTTTTGCAATCGCCTGATTTACGAATGAGACTGTTTCGCCTCCCCAAATAAATAATGGTAACGAATAATTGAAAAATAGGCCTTCAAATGTCAAATTATATTACATCGGGCGTTCGATAGAGATTGAAGGCCTATGCTGCAAGCACTTCCAACTCAGAGTTGTTTTCCTGATCAATAACATCAAGGAACAATGGATCAACGGTGACATGGCTATCCACGTGCACCTTGAACTTATGTTCCCACCAAAGAACCTTGGCCGTACCACTGATATCCACGGCGGCGTCGAGCACCATCTCACGCTTGGCGACATCAGCCACAAATTGAGCGGCGTGGTGGGCCAGTTCCAGGCCGTTAAGCCGGGCCGGAAGGTGGAGCAGCTGGCAGGAGCGGGGCGGCTGCGAGCCGGCCTGCACCTCGGCCGAGCCCAGAAGCGAACCCTGGTAATAGATGGACATGGAGGTAGAGGAGTAGTGGATTGGAGCAACGTTGGGGTTGGTGACGTGTACGGTGAGGATGAGCTCGGCGTCGAGGACAGGAAGGTGGAGCTTCAAAGAGGTGAAGCTGATTGATATGAGGTGGAAGGTTGGGTCCTTGGGCTTCGCCGATACAAGCGCCGTTGCAGCCACCGCCGACGCAGCTCCGATAATCGCCGAACTCCAGCTCCATTTTACCTTCTGGTCCATGCCTGCTCCGCATCACCTCCAGGATCAGATTCCCAATCTGAAACCTGCAGTGGAGGAAGGAGCTAAGGTAGTAGTTTAGATGACGGAAATGCCCTCAAATTTAGCCCCGCGAATTTTGCGGATGACGAGGACAGGTTCGTCATTGAGTCAAAAGTGGAAGCAGGAAGACGCCGAAGAGCACATGGGCACATGGCCCAAATATCGTCTCATCTCCACTTCCTGCTTCAGGGGGACATGTATAAGCCCATCTCTCGAAGTTGGGAGCCCAGGTACCGCATTGTGTTCTAACGTTTTCCTCCTTTTTTTTTTTTTTGCCAATTTTAATATAAAAACTTATTCAGTTTTTAATTTAGTCTTAAATATAAAATTTCAATCCATTTTGTCTCTTATGTTTATTTTTTTTTAAGATAGTCCTTATAATAGTTATATATGTTAAATGTTTTATCAAATAGTAATTCTAACTAATACACATAATTAGTGAGATTTTTTAATGTCTATTTATTAAATAACAATTTAACAAACTTTCTTAATCTACAACTAATTCTTATAATAAGAATCAAAGGTGGCATTAGAGACAATGAGAAAGCCTATAAAGTTGCCGTTTTACGGTCCCTTTGTTTAACTAGTGGGGATAGGATGTCATATACCACACAATTCATCTTTTGTTTAATTATTATTATTATATACCACACAATTTTTATCTTTATTTTAAATTGTATTTATAGATTCAGAAAATTATCAAATTACTTAGTTATAACATATTCCTCCGGTCCTTAATATAAGACCCATTTAACTAATTTGATTAGATTAAGGAAGTTAGGTAAATTAGTAATTATAAGAAAATTGACACATTTTTCTAAAACACCATAATCATCTTTCTTAAATACCCCATCTCCCTCTTTTATTTGATTATGGCTGAGGGAGTATTCATAGGGGTAATTTAGAGAAAATTGATAAATATGAAAAGGGGTCTTATATTTAGGACCAAACCAACTCAAGAATTGGGTCCTATATTAAGGACCGGAGGAGTATTACATTATCTCTCTGAGATATTTATATATATAATCAGATTAAATATCAATTCATAAGTAAAGCAAATTTATTTTTTAAACATTGAGCTTTCTCAGTTTTTTTAAATTAATTAACTGGTTTTTATATTAAAAATTCGAAATAATACTAAATAGGAATAAAATTAAAAAGATCATTAATTAAAAATAAAACTAATTAAATTTAAAATTTTTCTTCATTTTAATAAAGTAAATTAGAAGTGCCTTACACATTAGCGAAAAAAATGATAGCATAACTTCACTACTTTTTCCTTCAAATTGCACATAGTTTTCTAAGATGTTGTGACAATAAAAGTAGTTAAATTAATGTTAAGTTCTACAATATTCTGATTTATTTTTAAATGAAAATAAATATAAATAAATGATTAAACCAAATAAAATCATACTACCGTTCCTTAATATAAGATCCTATTTGACTTTTATTTTAGTCCTAAATATAAGACCCCAATATACTTTGTCTCTCATATTTATATATTTTTTTTCTAAAGTAACCCTTCTAATAAAGAGTTCTAGTCAATACACTTGATTAGTAAGGATATTTTAGGAAAGACAACACCTATTAGGACAAATAACTAACTCAACTTGCTTCCTTAATCTCCTCAAATTAGTCAACTGGCTCTTATAATTAGGACCGGAGGTAGTAGTTTATTAAGTTGAAATATGCTTCCCAAGATTCCCAAATAAAATAAAAAGACTCACTTTAATTCTTTTATTTGATTTTAAAAGTTATGTTTTGTGCGTTACACAACCATAAAGAATTAGGGGTATTTAAATTAGTTTTTTTAAAATGATTTGAATAAATATACAGAAAAAAAGTTGTGTCATTGCATGAAAGCATTTTTTTTTAGATGTTTTTGAGTTTGTCAAACTCCCCTGACATTTTGACAATAGCTCTTGTATGTATATCCTTCATGATATTTATTTTTCATGCTTGTTTTTTGATTTATTTTATAAATCATTTTAGAGTTAAAACTAACACTTACCGAATTAAGAATGTTATTAATATTTGAATTTGTGTTTTTTTCACTGAGTAACACTTTATACTATTTCAATTAACAACTTATTGGTTATATACTGTCATTTGATTATAATATAAATTGCTGCTTTAAAAATATAAATTTTAATTACAAGGATGTGGGATGTCCTGCTTGCTCAGATAGTCAGATTAAATAAATATGAGGGTAATTTACCCAAAAAAGAAAAAGAGGGTAAATTCACTCAAATAAATATGAGGGTAAACGTCACACGTCCCGCACTCCACACCGGCCTCAGCCTGTAAGATGCGGAAACCTGCCCGGTTCCTACTGTCCAGCCTTCTGTATCTGAGATTCCCAACTCATTCCAACTCAGGCCATCATCATTTCGTACGCTAATTTTATTTCGGCTACGCCCCCAACTGCTACTATGGATCTTTACGATTCTAATCGCTCCCGCCACCGCGCAGGCCCATCTCCTCCGAGCGCTTCCTTGGCGTTTCAACCCATGCGCCGCTCCTTTGAAACCCTAGCTCCTCCAGAAGGATCAATGGTGGTGACGAGCTCACCGAAGACGTCGTTGTTTTCATGAGCGAAGACTATACTGAGCCTAACCATTCATCCACCCCTTCATCTTCCTCCGCCTCATCCACCCCACGCCACCACCTTCATCACAGCCATAAGGTTTTGGGCCGCTCGATACATTTGGCATTCTCGCTGCTCTGCCTGAAGATGAGCCGTCCCCGAACGCGCGAAACACTTCGCATCTGTTCCATAAGGCATCTGTGTCTTCCACCTCTTCCTCGTCCTCCCGTTCGATTCCTGCCATTCCGAAGCCACCGCAGGAACGAATTCCTTCCTATACTTCATCGTCCTCTGTGAAGTACCCCCAGTCTGCGCCGGTGAATGTGCCGGTCATGTCGCCAGCAATGATGATGGCGAGGAGTAGACGCCGGGAATTTGATGAGGACTTTGACGACGAAGGTGATGAAAGTGAGGAAATGCTCCCCCCGCATCAGGCTGTGGCAAGAAATTCTGCGCAGTCCCCGATGCTTGCTAGCTCGGTTCTTGAAGGAGCCGGGAGGACGTTGAAAGGGAGGGATTTACGCCAGGTCAGGAATGCGGTTTGGCGGCAAACAGGTTTTCTTGACTGAAGGATTTGGATACTCGTAATTCTTGGATGCCTTATCTTACAATTTTCTTCTTTTGACTACATTTGAGATTATCAGACTGAATTTGTTCTGAACTAGTGTATCTTAGTGGCCAATTGCCGCTCCATTGTAAGCATGAAGCAAGTTACTATTTTAAATTTTCTTTCTGACGTCTTTTTATCAATTAAAACCTGCTCTACAAGATCTAGGCATGGCGGATCATTCAGTCCAAAGAGATTCGGTCATTTATGAGCTCGTTAATGTTTTATTTCCCTCCTTCTACGGGAGTGATTTTGTATGTCCCGTCGTTTTCACTGGACACATTCTGGTTTTGATCATTTGTTGGACAGGGATATACTCTTAAGATTAGGATTAGGACTGAGAAAACAGTGTTTAGTACGAGATATTACTTATGATATGGGATTAGATAAACGCATATATGTGGGATTGGAGAATACTATGGGAGGAAATGGTATTCACCAATCCTACTTTTATGAATTTGTTTAATCCTATGTAACAAGCAATTACTCATGCTAAAGGTTTTTTTAATGATTTTTTTTCAATTATAATCCTAATTCCTATTTTCAATATTTCGTACCAAATGGCACCTTATAATGCAATTCACAAAATTAATTCATCGGATGTGCTGAGTTTTTGATGTACCTTCCATCTGAGTCAAATATATATGAACTTTGCGTCGCCAAATAAGGCTTACTGAGATCAGTTTATTTCTTTATTTGAAACACTCGAGATTAGAGAACTCATATACGTATATAAAAAATATGGTATAGCTCTAGCCACTCTATCATACTCTATTGTGGTTTAATTACTGCTTTTCCCTTCTTTATTGCGATTAAAAATTAAGGACTTTATGAAATGAGAAGTCTGTGTGCTCCCTTCACCACTGCCTGGCTTCTCTCCATTTTTGCCAGTACCATGCTATTAAATTGATAGCGTGCCTCTGAAAACTAAAAGCAACGTGTCAACTAAGTTAATTGTTGCATTTTCGTGTGATTTGGACTGTGTGGAATTGACCGATAACTTAGCCATTTGTTGCTCTTCTGGTGGAATCCTAACATGTGGGTCTTGCCTTATGATATCAATGCCGCCTTGTTGAAGACATGTGGTGTCAACTTTTCAAATTCAATCATCTGCATTTCAGAGGCCTTTGGCAGTGCGGTTGAGGTTCTGAGTTGTCAGAGATGCTGCAAGAATCTTCTTTTAAAAGGTCTGTGGATGATTGTTCCTGATCTGTTTTACTTTCCTTTCATGAACGATCTGTGTGCTGGCCTTGCGGGTAACCAACCACTGGGACTTTACTGTTAATCGAAGTTGCTGTTATTTTGCTCCTGACTTGTTTTTTCCCTGAGTTTTCTCTACTTTGCTTCCTGGGTTCTGGGGATGCTGCTGTAATTTGCTCCTGAGACTGCTGTTAGTTGAAGTTGCAGCCTGTCGCAGTTGCAAACTGCATCAGCAAACAATAAAGCAAGAAACAATATTTATGACTTTTGGCTACCTGGAACGGCACACGAATGATGAATTCAAGAAGCGCAGCACTCAGCCGCCTCTGGAATTCCAACTGGTTCGGTCGCTGTGTGTTTGATAACTGCCCTGAAACACAGCGCTGATTGTGGGAGGAGGAAGCCGTGTGTCAAGATCCTACTGGAAGGAGCAACGTAAAGATCAGTGTAGTAGGAGGATGAATTGGAGAGAGAGGATGGCGCCAAAATGATGGCATGATTTTGGCGCCAATAATGGAGCGAAGCCTCGTGATTGCAGAGTTTCCACGACTGAAATTGGCTTATGATGATGCATTGTTGGGGGTGGGCGATGTATGTTTATTTTCAGACAATATTGGCTATTGGATTCTTTTCCTTAAACCAGTCATTGGATGCCTATTGAAGGTATTAAATTATGAAACAAAACATTGAAGTTATCAAATATATTTAATTACGAGAAAGCTCAATCTTAAGCTCTCACCCGTGAATGAATTAGGAAGTTACAACAAACCCAAGCCTTTTGGACAATCAGGAATGAGTGCTTGGTAGGAAACTTGCAAGTTGCAACTGACATTTTATGTTTTCTCCCTCATGTTTACGTTTTCTTTTTCCCAAACTGTTTCATCCGTTCCCTTACATGTGATATACTGGAGATCATTCCACCTTCTGTTTCATTTTCTAGGCCTGTATTGTATCAAAAGCCTCCGATATAGGGCGTTGACGTGCGGCTGTTTTGGAATGAAGACTAGCATTCCGTTTGTTTCTTCCCTTTCATTGTTTTACAACCCTCCTACCTCTTCTTGGAAGGCCTTGACGTGCGCCTTTATGGTATCCTTGATGGCATAATAATAAGCGCTATTACTTACGATTCCAAAGAGGTTGTCGGCGTGACTAAGGGGATGACTTTTGATTTTACCACAAACACTGTTCACGCTTCATGTCACATTCTTCTGGGCAAAATGGTGGTCCCTGTTTGGGGTGAGCCCAGGCTTCTACCAGAAAGAACGCCATCTTTATTTAAGTGCTTCCGCGAGAAGTAGGTTGCGGGGGCGATTTTCATAACTGCATCTTTACTTTTATGTGCCCTTGCATGTCCTATCCCAAAACACACCATCATAAGGTTGGTAGAGGTGTAAATGAATCCAATTGCTTGTAGCTTACTTGGATTTCGCTTGTTCCAAAATTTGGTTGCATTCAATTTTACTTATTAAATGAACATGTTTGCATAATATGCTATTAAATTTGTTGAGTTAGATAAGCCAAGCTGACTCTGCAAACAACTTATTTTATAATATTATTTTCGATCCTTAATATAAGAGCTAATTGACTAATTTGAGTAAATCAAGAAAGCTTGTTAAATTAGTTATTTATAATAAATATGTGTTATCTTTTCTAGAATATTCTTGCTAATTATGTGTATTAACTAAAACTACTATTTGATGGAATCTTTAACATGTGCAATTACTATAAGGATTACTTTGAAAATTATGGATAAATACAAGAGATAAAATTAATTAGAGTCTTGTGTTTATAAATAAATTAAAAATCAACTAATTTTTATATTAGGTAGTGTAAGAAATGCTCATAGTTTGTGGACTCTAACGTTGATTTTTTTTTTTTGGGTACACTCTAACGTTGATTATTACTACGAATTGGTGTTGCACGGCCATGACGGTTTAATTGGTCTAACTCAACTCAGCATTTTGAAGCCCATTTATGATCTGAGGCTGTTAGCATCTCTCCCTTTAGTGCTTTTTTAAGGAGGGGGAAAAAAAAGAAAAAGGTTATGAATGAGTGATTTTGGATGGATAGTATTTCATGGGGCTGGAAGACGGAGGCACTGGCAGAGTGCATTAGTTATGGAAAGATGACCACAGTGAAGGGTCTTTGCTCGGAAATTAAACCACGAAATGAATTCAACGGAATTTGAATTCTGGTTGCACATTTATCAAACCATGACGGGTAGAACACGACCCTTGTGGGGCTGCTTCTTTGTAGAGCCAAGACTTAGACTTGATCGGTGATCCTCAGAATCGCATTTAAGTGACTTAGTTGACATGTTGGGTATCTCTGTTTCATCCATCCCACCAGTGGGAGACAGCAAAGATTTGCTTTTTATCACTAAATATTTTCTCCTCTTAGCTTTTCCGTCTCACACTAAGTTGACTGCTTTCTTTTTCTTAAACTTCTTGATTTCAACTCGTCTTATTCTTGATTAATCATTACTTACATTCATTATGGTCTTTTAGATGATTTCAAAACATCTCTGAAAAAGGTCCGAGCCGGTCGTAGTTAATAACAAAGTTTCACCGCGAGAGTTAAATTCACGGGAGATCAGTGAGACCAACCAGGTTCATAAATCTCATGTTTTATGGGATTTCCTTTTCAACCATGTACTACTATAGACGCTAACTTTATTATAAGATTTCATATTAAATATGGCATGCATCTTTTGAAATATCCCTGTCAAATGTCGGGGCCTGGGGGGTTAGCACAGTCATCACTGAGTGATCTCTCACTTACGCTTCATTAATACTCTCTGACCTCAGCAACTCAGTGCCAAAAACTCCACAAGGACGATCACTGAACTAAAAATCTGGCTCCTCTTACGACCCATGACTTGTTTGAGATGAGAATTTTCCAGCTTCTCGGCACAGCACCAAAATCTATATACTCTTCGGTTTTTTTAACATAGGATCTAATTATTAAGTTAATTTTGATTCTAAATATAAAATCTATTTTTTATATTTATCAATTTTTTAAATTATCTCTTTAGATACTCTCTTAATCATGATCAAATAAGTGAAGGAGGAAAGATATTAATAATAATAATTATGATATTTTAGGAAAAACATGTCATATTTGTTATAATTAACTAACTTACCTAATTTTCTTAATCTAATCAAATTAATTAAAAAGATCTTATATTAAATATCCTATTATATTCTGCACACTTTCTGGTACCTGTTTCATGCTTTCTTTTCAACTCTAGTCTTCACTTTTGAATTTTTTAACCAAAAACTTTCTAATGATCTTCCTCTTGCTGTGGACTTTGGCATGCTTCAGTTTCGAACTCTAATCAGAAAAAGCAAGGCCGACGTGCTCAAGGATTCACGTCAAAGCTGCTGATCTGTGAATAAATTAGATATTTGTTTTTTGTGCACTGATAACATCTTCTTTACACGTTATTGTAACATGATGATAAAATGTGTGATTGAGTTTCTCACTGAGCGTGTTTTATGTCCACATAAAAGATGAAATTACAGTATAAAAAATTTCATATATTTCTGACATTTGACAAGTTTCGCTGAGCAGTACTTAATTGCAATCTATGAAGACCAACTACTAATGTCAGCTTTAGGCCCCATCATTTATTACGCTCACATTATAAGCTGCAAGCTTGTCCTCCTTCTCTACAGACTTCAAACTTGGAACTCTTCTGTCAGCCATTTCTTGTTGCTTCTTTCTGCAGAAGCTAGTCTCATGGCGTTTCCTCAGCTTATCACAGCTCTACTTTTTGCATTAGCCCTAGCCACAGTTGACCCCTCCACATGCCATGAAGTAAAAGCTAAAGTCTCTTGCCTTGACTGCCCCAACAATTCGACTTCTCTGGTTTGTCTCACAATCTTCTAACGTACTAATTCATCCATTAGTGACTCACTAGCTTTCAC